GTCAATACCTGGAAACTTTACTACAAAGACACTAAATTACACACAAACAATGGAGAGAGAGAGAGAGAGGGGGGAGGGGGGGGAAAAGACATTTTGCAGATCTACAGCCCAGCCTAGCTGGGTCCCAGGGGCCATTGTGAAGCCCTGGGCAGTGTCATATATCACCCAGACTTGCTGAGCTGTGAGCAACGTTCTAAAGCGCTGCTCTGTGCCACACACACACATCCCTATCCTGATGATCCCCAGTCACCCTTCTGGAGCAGCACTGTGATGTGCATCACCCATGTGCTACATGGACATTCCAGGCACTGCTCTGGAAATATCGCCTGTGGAGTCTGCTGGGGGATGATGGTGAGGGAGATGCTTCGGGCTTACCTTGACCGTGAAACACAGAGCGTAACCAAGTGAAGCAAATCCATGCAACTAAGTGACGCAGAAAGAGGAATTGGCAAAAGGTCTTTTTCAAAGTTCAATGTAAATTTAGTAAAATGTAAGCACCAGGGTCAGCCTTTTGTTGGGATTTTTGCCGGCAGTGGTGGGTGCACTTGGTTCCAGCTCCCTTTAGGATGGGAGCAGGACTGGATTATCACTGCTTGTATCTCTTCCTATGCCACATCACTGTGTATGGGGCATTTGATCACTATGGGGGCATAAGTCCCAGTAGCTTTGCTTTTGATAGTAAGCCATGTTCAGGACTCCAGTGAGGCCTTTCCCGTCTCCCACAATATTGCTGTAGCTCCTGAATACCCTGCCTGGCAAAGCTGCTCATGACTATTCATGCAGCTGATGCTCTGATTCCAACTGGACGGCAGCCAGGAGAAGCGCAGCCAGTTGGACTGGGTGGGGATGAGTAGGAATGAAGCGCTAACTCAACAGCTTGTGTGGCAGTGATCCTTAACTCACAAGGTTCGCTACCAAGAGGTAGATCTGCTCCCAGGAGTGAAAGTGACAGAAGCAGTCAAGAGCCAGTAAGGCTACTCATGACACCATTCTGAGCTGGTGGCCCTTGCCGCTTTCAGCAGACAGACTGTGTGAGGAGATGGCCAGAGCGCTATACAGTAACTCTGAGAGAGAGCTAGGCAGGCTCTGGTTCGGTCAGCAGGGGGATAGTTTGTGTTCCAGAATCAGAGAGGTTTGCTGCCACAAACTACTCTGCTCATAAGGTGCAGCACTAGGTGGCTTGGACAGGGAGGTTAATGCTGGAAGTACCTGGGCCCATGTACGATTTAATAGGGACTGGCAGGTGTTGACATGCAAATTCCTTTATCTGTCTCCAAGCCAGGTAGTGTGCCAGCAGCCACCGTGGGAGATTCTCCTACACTGGAGAATGTCCCATTGGGGAGAGGTGTGGCCTAATGCTCTGAGCGCAGGACAATGAACCAACAGCACCTGCGTTCTAACCTTGAGACTAAGGCCAGCATTTTGAAACTTGGATGCCTCAAGGCACAAAGGGGGTCTTAAGGCTGAATCTGAGGATTTCCTTGTCGTAGGTGTAGGGCCATTCCCTACCCCTAGGTTCTCGGTGTGTCACTGCGGAGGGGACCACTCTCTTTCTAGGCCCTGGGTCCTTGAGTGCCAGCCAGATGGGAATGTGGAAAATGCCTTTCTCTGTGACAGGTGAAAGCATCAGAACCAGGATTCTAAAGCAACATCCGCTCCTCCCACAGGGCACGTGACACTGACCTAACCTCAGACTGGGGGCGGGGGGAGGGGGAGCTTTATAAGAGTCAGGGAGGAGCATTTTAAACTCCAGCAGATTAAGGGGCACGGCCAGGGTGCGGGGAGGGGAGATGGAGCAATCCTCTGTCTCCAGCATGCCTGCTGAGCTCAGAGTGGATGCAATCCTTCTGTCACGAGCCTGAACAGGAGGATTAAAGGCCTGAGCCACTGCTGACCATGGGATTAACCCCTGCAGGAAATTAAAGCTGCGGTAGAGAAGGCTCTTCCCTCCACAACTGAGAGAAAGAGAGAAATCGGGATTTGGATTAGAATTGGCAGGCCCGGTGACAAGCTGCCACCCACATGCAACTGTTCCTGTTTGGATCAGAAAATGATATCTCCAGCCTCAGATGGAATCCCTCTGCCTGCCGCACTATGTTATTAATTTTCCTCTGAGGGAGGAGAGCCATAATGCTCCTTTGCACTCAGTGCAGAAGGGAAGGAAGCCAGGTAACCTGCTTGTGTGTCTCTCCCCTGAGCCTCTCTCCCGCGCCCCTTCTCAGCTGCCTCCCTCTCAATACAGGAAATATACATGTGATCTGTAGTATTCAACCTTACCCTGAAAAAATGCTGGTGGATACATGGTTGGATTGCTCCCTGTCAATAGCCCCCTTCCTCTCCTTTTGCTGCTGCTCTGGGCCTCTCCTACGCTGCTCTGGGCCTCTCGTGTCACTCCGGAGTTGGACATCCCCAATCTCCCCACCTCTGGACCTGCTTCCTTAAGATGCACCATGCATCCCTAGTTCTCTTCAGCCACTCAACATCTTCTCCTTCTCCAGTTGCTCTGTGCTTTTTAAAATCTCTACCCTCCCCAGCTTCTCCAGTCTCTGACACTCAGATGCTGTGAGCTGGTTTTGTTGTTTTGTTTTTTGAGGGCGGTGATAAAAATAATGCTTTCCTAGTTAAAGCATAGGACTGAGAATCAGGAGCTCTCGGTTCTAGCCCGGGCTCTGCTGCAGGCTCCCTGGGAGACCTTGGGCAAGTCACTTAGCCCTACATTTTCAAAGGTGTCCACTACCTTGCGGGTGCCTCATGTTTTCGATGCCCAAAGTGTCACTCTTAACTCTAAATGATTTCAATGGGAGCTGTAGGTGCTCAACACCTGTGAAAATCAGATGTCCCAAGATAGACAGCCCAAATTTAAGGCAGCTAAAATTTTTGATCATGTTTAGAAATTTAGGCCTCAACTTATTTGTGCTTAGTTTCCCCAGCTGTAAACTAGGGATAGTAGTGTCCTGTCTCATGGTGATGCTGTGAGGCTAAATTCATCAATGTTTGTAAAACACTTGAAGAGCCTTGGATGGCAAGTGCTACAGAAATGCAAAATATTAATTCTCATTCCCGTATGCCGTGCTTCACTGAGCCAATAACCATGTTTCTGCTTCAGCTGAGCCTAGGTGCTGGGAATTCACAGGTAGCTTTCTGACATCAGCACACACATACTTGGGAATAGGGAAGAGTGTTAAATTCATAACACATAACTGATCTGACAGATGCCACCTTTTTTCGGTTTGCAAAATGTCTGCAAATGGATCTTGATTTTCTTGTGATTATTCAATGGAATTTTTCATTAATTCTGCTATTGGACGGCTATGGGCTGCTTAGCTGTGATGGATCAATAGAAGCTACATGGTGTTGTTTTACTTCCCTTATTGGATGAATATCTTCCATAATCAGGTTTCTGGTGTGAACGTATAAGCTGCTTTCCAGGAGTATTTGAGTGTGAGAGTTTATCATCCAATTTTTGTGTGCATGTGGTGTTAAAACAATGAAAGTTCACAGAAAACAAGCCCCAGGATATATAGATTGTAAGCTTTTTGGGACAGGGACTGTCTCTTACTATGTGTCTGTACAGTGCCTAGCACAGTGGGGCTCTGATCTTGGCTGGGATGTCGGAGTGCTATTGGAATGCACAGAAATAAATAATAATAAACAAAAAGGGAGTGGCCATGGCAGGCGCAAATAAGCTTAAAAATATGACTACTCATGGTCAATTTTTTGCAGCCTTTGCCCAGGTCTCTTGGGATGGCACCGATGGTTTCACGCTCACGTCACCTTCCTACCCCAGGTGCTGTTCAGGGACAAATGGATCCACCTAGGATTCATCAGCCAGTTGTTTAACATGTTTTTTAAATTGCTTTAATCAGCCCACATGGTCTCTGCCTCTCCCCACTCCTGGTGTCCAGATTCTTGCCCACTAGGGATGACTGAGGTTGTGTAGAAATAACACTATATGCTCTAATCACTGTACATGGGGGTGCCATCCTTTGGGTGGGTCTCAGACTGCAGTGAAACAAGAATCTTAGCAATAACAGCCTCCCCCACAGAGGGAGGGGGAAAATATAATCTCCTTTAAAGCATATTCCATTCATTCCCTAACCCTGCTGGGTTCCAGATAAAGGCTAAAGCAATTTAGCCCTGGAGATGGACTTTCCTATCATTCATCAGCTGCTGTGTGTATGTGTGAGCGCACTTCCTGTAATTTATTGCTGGCAACTGCTGTAGCCTCTATTACCTACACTTCCCTAACAGACATCACCCCCACCCCCAGAGATACAGGCTGTTTGAGGGGACTGATGTTGGATCTGTGACCTAAGGGTTAGAGGAAAGGACTGTGACTACGGGTTAAAGCAAAGGATTCCTGGGCTGTACTGCTGACTCCATCTGATTTCTGCGACACCTTTGGCAAGCGACCTGAGCACTTGGTGACTCAGTATCCCTATCTGTGAAATAGGGATAATGCTATTCATCTATCTATCTCTGGTATTCTTATAGCAGGGCTTGGGTCTGATTTTCAGACATGCTGAACACCCACCACTTCAACTCGAAGGTCAATAGGAGCTGCAGGTACTTCAGAAAATCATGCCCTTAGTTGGCTAACTCCATGATAAATAGCAATAGTAATGAATGTTTATAAAGCACGTGGAGAGCCTTGGATAAAAGATATTACAGAATTGCCGAAACAACATGTGGAGGCAGAAAGCAGGGCCCATAGAGATTCTCCTCATCCTCACAATATGCTCTTTGGGACCCTATTTTTGGAAGGGTTTGATTCAGCTCAACCACAAGGTTTTTAAGTGATACTGTGCCAGTCACCAGTGGCAGAACTGGAAGAGGGGAGGGGAGGGGCAGCGGTAGCTCCTGCTGTAGCTTTTATACACCAGGATGCCTGACAACAGCCGCAGGAGCAATTAAAGTGAAATGTTCTATAGCTTTAGGGTTCTCTAACAACGCTAAAGCTTTTCAGTTCCCCAAGAGAGCTAATCAGGATGGCAGGAGCTCCACAGGAAGCCCAAGTGGTAGACTGAATGTCAGAGTGGGGCTTCAGCTCAGTGCATTTTTGGGAACTGTAACATGAGGCCGGTGATAGATTAACTTGCTCTGTGGCCTTGAGCTGAAACTAAACATGTTGCCCCTTGGTCTGCTCTGTCAAAGGGCATAAAGAAAAAGCATAGCCCTTGCTCCATAGGCTGCCTGGGGCACTGCCACTGAATTTGGAAAGTGTTGAATTTCAAGTGCATGGATGAATGCATTGGACCATAATGATCACAGGGCATCCACTGGGCTCTGAATACAGTGTCCTAGAGACCACCACAGGACATCCAGTGGCCACATTGGACACAGTGTCCCAGGAACCAGAGGGCATCCAGTAGGCCCACAGGATACAGTGACTCCAGGTCTCTGGAGCACTAGGGGTTTGATTCCCATGATGCAAAGCAGCCTAAAAGTTGGCAGATCCAGCCATGTGAGGATTTCCCTTGTGGAGTGGAATCTCAGGGTGGCATAGAGCTGCCATAGTAGCTCCTCTAACCCCAGGCGTATGGGAATTAGCTGGACTACTCATGATTGGCTGGTCCCTGGTTACTGGATGAGCCCCTCATGGTTGCTTGCCACTTGCATGAGACAGCGCACTATGAAGGCATATGTTGGGCGCCAGAATGCAGCTATGTGTACAAGACATGGGTGTGTATGAATATGGGTCACATGTCATTCAGGAGTATGTGTACATGCACATACATGTATGTGTGTGCTTTTGCCTCTGTAGGCTATATCTGTAATCATGCATAAGTGTGTGCATGTGTCTGCACACATGTACGGGACTGCAGATGGCTGTGTGAGAAAGTTTATTTGTGGGTGTGTGCACAAGTTTTGGTGTTTCTGTCTGTGTATGCACCCACCTGTTTATGTTACATGCCCATGAATGGGCGTTTGTGCACAAACACACATACTCACATAAGTTGCATACGAGTGCATTTAGCTATGTTTACATGCAGGCTCATGGTGCATGTTTACATCACATGCGCATGCAGGGGCAAGTGTGTCATATGTCTTTACACAGTCACATGTGCATATAGGCACAGCCACTCTTGTGCATGTTGCAGTACAGGAGAGAAAAATTAAAGGCTGAACAGGTGTTAATCACTAGACACTGCAAAACAATGCTATACACAGGGAAAGGGCTCATTTCTACACATCTCCTCCTCCCACCCACGTGGTGTGCTTGAGCCTAGTCAATGTATCATTGGAAGAGGAGCCTGTGATATACCAGAATTTAACACCTGACCTGGACGCTCCATGCCATAGCAGAGGGAAGTAGGGCCAGAGACATCACTCTCCTAGTGCTCAGGTGCTGTCAACGTTGCTCGGAGCCCTCACAAGGTACTGGGTATTGGGCTGGCGAGGAATGATTGCAGGGGAGATCGTGTGGGGTGAAAACGCCACCTAAGGAATTGATGGGAGGGGGTCAGGAAGCAACCATGAAGGTTTTTAAAGCTTAGCACCCTTGGTTGGAGCTGAGCCAGGTGATACAGATGGGTGTTAACAAACCAACAGGCTAGGATCAGAGCGCTCTACAACACAGGAAAAGTTAGATGGAGAGAAGGGGAACAAGAGAGAGAGTGGCAAGCATCCCCTGCTGCCTAAGGGAGGACAGGAACACGCAACAACAGGATTTGAAACTGATCAACACCAGCTATCCAGCAGCCGCATAAGTCTCTGTGGCTGTCAGCTTAACTCTGCCGTTTGTTCCTGTGGTGTAGGGAGTTAAATAGGACACAGAGAAAGCCTGTTGGCTGGGAGTTGAAGTCAAGGAGGGAGAGAGAAGAGACTGCAATTGGACAGTGCCCAGGGAGTCGGGTGGAAGCAGCTGCGGGCAAAGCCCCTCCAGGTAAGTGCTCCTGTCTTTTCACTGTTCCCACTGAGAAAGCGAGACAGACCAAGGGATTTCCGAGGCTGCATTTAATACAGAGCCATGGCTACAGATGGTGTGAAAGCACCTCTCTAAACCCAGCAAGCAAACATATGGAATGGGGGCAGCTATTTTTCAGCTTTTCCTTCGGCTACAGACTGTAGGCAAGATAGTCCAGCTCAGTTGTGGGGTGGTGTGGGGAGGCTTTTTGGCATTGTTGCTGTTAATGCATCTTGTGCATTGGCATTTTGATATGATTATCTACAATAGCCTCGCAAGATGTACCAGCCCGGGCACTAAATCTGCTCACCCCTCTTCCTGAGACAATAATTAAAATATCTCCTGGTGTTTTGCTTGCCCTTGAAGATAAGTCAGTCACTGGAGGGTGTGGGCAAGTGGAATTGAGACACGTGTGCTGGGAGAAGATGCCCTGATGAGTGCATTGTGCACATCTAAAAATAAAGGCTAGGGGCATCGCCAGAGCCCTCCGGAGGGAGGTGGAGGGGGTAGGGGGGGATGTTCAGCCATGCGAGGCTTCTGTACGTCGGTGGGAATTTGCCCAGCTAACGCCTGGTGTGACTGTTGGAAAATATCCCCTTGCTGATACTTGAAAGAGTAGGCAGAGGAACAGAAGGGTCTGCAGAGCTTCCATCTTCCCTTCCCTGCTTGTCTTTATTCAGAGGGAAGGGAGAGGATGGGGGGACCTGTTGTCATAGTCACTTATTGTCAGGGGAGAGTTTATGGTCTGTGGGTTTCTGATTAGGAAGAGCATTTTTCTTTAATTGAGACATGATTCCTCCCCTTTTCCCCCCTCCCATTCCTAGTCCTCCCTTCTGCTATGAGGCTCCTATTCTGCTCACTTGCTCTTTGGCTCCTGCATCTGCTGCAGTCTGAAATCCCCAAGCTGTGTTATATACATCCCCACTGGAGACGTTACATCGGTTTTACCTCCAAAGAGAAAGGGAGCATTTGCAAGGGTGAAAGGCAGCTTGGCAGCCACCCCCAGTGCCTACACCACTGCAAATCTGTGTCACAGAGAGTGGGTGCACAGTCGGTATCAGCATGGGTGTGGTCAGAGGGAAGGAGCTGAGGATTATTGCTCTTGCCACGTCACCTCAGCAGTCCACAGCACTGACCTTTAGTGTGGGACAAGGTTTGCTAGTACATTCACCCCAGACTTTCCAAGACCGGTCAACTCAGCACAGTAGTGAACAGAGTCTGATTTAACACAGTGTTCCAAACTGAATTAACCATCATCCTTCCTCGTGCTTTGCACCCTTGTTCTCTAAAACAGTTTGACAGCCTCACTCCCAAAGGCGAAACATAACTGGGGAGGGAAACAGAACCCTGGAGCCTGTCCCTGTCTCCTCCAGTCCCTAGAGAACTGAGGACCATGTGCTTCTGCTTTTCCTTTTAGGATCTGACAGGTAGGGTGCCCAGATTGCTCCTCCATCCTGTGAGAACGTGTGCCAGGCTGGCTGGAGGACGGGAAGCCACACTGGAGAAAACAGTGACCATAATGCTGTCTGGGAGCGCTAGCCACTGGTGGAAGAACAGGTTTTCCATGAGGTGGCGACAGACCTGCTGTAAGTACTGACCATTTGGGAGATCAGGTGCTAAGTATGATGCCCCTGTGTCTCAGGGGACAGGAGAGAAAATAGATTGCTACAGAGGAAGGATGTGGGTTAGCTAAGTATTGAGAAGTCTGAGCTAGTTCCCACATCCCAAGGCACTGAGTGAATGGCCAGGCTGGCTGTGAGAGCCTATAATGCTCAAGATGAGTTTAAGGCGGGAGGGTCTGTAACAAGTGTTTCTGATTTGCCATTGGACTGGGTCTGGCTGGGGAGAGACAGAGGGACAGGCACCTGAGCACAGCTACTGCCCAAGGGCCACTTAGAACATTTGTCAGCTTCAGACCTTGTAAAGAGCAGATTTCTCCTCCCTTCTCTTTGTGATGCTGACTAGTACCTGGGTTGCAGAGCAGGGCTGCTGGCTCTTTGGGGAGGAAGGTATTGTAGGTCTGGGCTAGTATAAGAAGTGAGCAGTGATTCTATCACTGGGGCACTGCCACATGTAGACAAATCAAAGAAGAATAATGGACCCTCATCCCAACTCTCCCACTCACTGCTGGTAAATTAACATTTTTGCTCATCCATCTTCCCACTGAAGGATCCACGCTTGGGCAGCTGCTCCGTTGTCCCAAAGTGTGGAACACATGCCTCGAGAGCGCTCCGAAGCAGCAGCAGTGGGACTGCAGGGAGGGAGGGTGTCTGTATTTCAATGAACAGTCTGGTAATCACAGTAAAGGAAAGAGAGGCTCTGTTACAAAATGTCCCTCACTAATGAGAACACGGGCAGTCACACAGGCTTATAGTCCCCCTCCTAAAATTCTGACCTAGGGCTGCCACTGTAAGAAGGTGAGGGAATTATTTCCTTCTCTGTAGAAGACCATTTTTGTAATCCATCTGCACCAACTAGATTGCTATATAAATTATTTACTGTGAATGTTACTGAGCCCTGACCTAATCTGATACTCCTGGCTCAGCTTTCTGCCACCTACCAGGGTCACTGAACACCCCACAAAGTAACATCATCTTTCCCTAAGATGAGAGTACGTTCCACTCATACGACTGCCGTGCTGCTCTGAACTATGCTGGCTGAAAGAAAGCTTAATGTTTTGTCTACCACATCCCTGCTTCTCTTAGTGTGAGGCTGGACGCTCATCGTGAGATGAGTTTCCAGATCTCAATCCATACCCAGAACAGATGCATCCTTCAAGGGGATGGAAAATGAAACCAGACCTCTGCCTTATTGCTATTTCAGTAAAATGGACAGTGTTGGTATCCATGTTTCCAGGGGGCAATGAGGAGCCTCTCTTTTTGGCAAACCCTGCATCAGGACAGAGACCTGGCTCAGTAAATCAATTTCCTGAACACAACCACACCCGGCTGTCTGACACATTGCTTCTGCCAGCCAGAGCCAGCTCTGATGGCAGAATCCCAGAGCAGCTCAGTCAGGGGCCAATAGAGGGAAGGTATTTGGAGAGACAAGCCCTGAACAGAGCATCACCTGTATAGCATTACCAGGATGTTCTGGCCTTTCTCTCTATACAAAGAGGCTAAGTGTTATCTCATCATCAGAGCTGTCAATCTATTATTAACATTGTACTTCTGTCAAGCATCCAGGAAAAGGCAGGGGCATTTGAGTGACTCATGTCTCTCTCTCTCTTCCCCTCTCTAACTCCTATTCTTTCAAGTCCCATTCTGCAACAAGAGAGAGACATATTCCGAGTGGAATTAAATGTCATCCAGCCAGAGAGCACTGCCACTGTGCCAATGCACAGGACAGGATCTGCTTTCATGGCACCTGAGGGAGAGGCTCTGTGCTATTGACCCCAACCTTTGCTTGATAGGAATGCACGGGGGATTTAGGATAAAGATCTTCCTTCAGTTTGGCCCCAGTGATCCATTTTCCTCCTTAGGGAGAGCTGGGACAAGCAGGGCTCTGACTGGTATCTCCTAGGCCTATGCAGACAATCTCACTTGATTGAGAGAGGAAAAACCTCTGAAGGAATCATGAGATACAGCCTGAGAAAAAGAAAATCTGGGACATTCCCTCTGCACCCTTGTCGCCTCATCCTCTGGTGCTTCAAAAAGCTGCCCTGCCTATGAGCCAAATCCTGAAGCCCTTACGTCAGTCTTCACTCAGTCCACTATCTGGCAAACTCCCACTAGAGTCAATGGGAATTTGAATTCCAAAAGGACTGAATAAAACCTGAGCAAGGACCACAGGATTTGGCCCTATTACTGGGGAATGGGACATCATTGATATAAATCAAGTCAACATCCAAAATGGATTGTAGGACATAATAAACTCCAAAAGAATGGGGAAAGAGTGTGATAGTGGAGGAAACTCACAGCTGCTTCAGTCCCAGCTTCTCCAAAATATCTGCTTCTACCAGCTACCTCTCCCAAGATGTACTTTCCAGGAGTTCCTTGGGGGCTAAGAAACAATTTGTTCTGGAAGTTGGTCCCTACAAAAAGAAGCAGGAAGGCAGACAGGATAAGAGATTCTGGTTTCCAATCTATGAAAGACAATCCATGGTGGGACTATAAGGACACTATCTGAGATTTATCTACTTTAATACTGAACAGCAGAATGAATCTAAAGCCGGGGTTGTCAATTATTTTTTGTCAAGCTCCAAATTTCTTGGTCAAGGTATAGTCAAAGTCCAGACTTCAGAGAAAATAATAATGATAATGATATGGAAATAAAAAGATTATGGGGTTTGTTCTAAAGCATCTGGCAGCCCAGATTTGGCCCGTGATCTGCCTATTGGCTACCCTTGATCTAAAGCCACCAAATGCCATTGACTTCTACAAGGCAAAGTGAAGAGAAGACTGGGTATGACGTAGGGATAAACCTAACTGTGTTTTGGTCAAATGCTCTACCTGCAGCCCATGAAAACATTGAGGGAGGTGGAATGATTTCCTGCTCAGAATATACCTTCCAGGAAAGGAGTTACAATGAATATGAGAGCTCAGTACTGAAGCACAGGTGCAAACCCCTCACTCCCTCAGTATGAGGTGGAAAGCTTGTTCTCCTGTTGCTGGTGCTATGTTGTCACAGGGATGAAGTGGTAATTTTGAGGCTACTAGTTCCCCACAGGGGTTGAACTATTACAGTCCCTACATATCCACAAGATCCACACAAATGACTGAAGTGGTTGCCTCTCCAGACCAATGTGACCAGCAATACAGATGGCAGATACCACTGAGGAATAACTTGTTCATACTCAAGCCCCTAGAGACATAGTTCAATGCCCTCTTTCCTTCTCCCACCTGGCCTAGCGAAGATTAAACCTTACCTGTGAGACACCATAAGCCAGGGCTCAGCCTCCTACACTCTTCTCAGCACTCACATCATCATCAGCTAATCCTGCATTTTTTCTGAGTGCTCCCTTGGCAACAGGTGGTTTGGGGAGCATTGCAAAGTTTGACAGACTCTCAGGTTAGCAAAGGCAGGTGGATCTGTGTTTGTGGTTTTCAGAAGGCATTTGACAGCACTGCCAAATGCAGAGCATCCAGCGGGTTAGAGAGACTGTTGGGCACTTTTACACCTTACTGGGACACCAGTCTCGGTTAATTAACACCGAGGCCCATCACCACTTGATATGGGCCCAAGCTGAAAAGTGTGGATTTGGAGCTGAACTTACCCAAGGTTAGGGGTTGTTTGGATCCAGGGGTTAGGTCTGGCCCATCTAAGAGATGACCAGCTACAAAGTTTGGCTCTATACCCAGACTCTCTCAAATCTAGACTTCTTGGGCCTTACCAAACCTCAAGAACCATGAAATTCAGCACCATATCCTAGCTTCCCTAGAGTTTATGGGGCAGGGCTCAGCTGTAGGGGCTGGGGCTGAATCCAACTTTAGCCATAACACATCACATTCTAACGGAATTGGGCTGATCAGAAAAAAATGTTAAGGTGTTTATTTCTGAGCAAAGTGGCTTTTTAAAAACATACCAACTCCCAGCCCCAAACCCCTCTATTTTGAGAGAGTCGTTCTTTAGCTCAGGCCATGTCTCCCATCATGCTATGCACCATTCTAGTCTAACTCTGTGGAGTGTCCTCACATTAGGCAGCAAAGCCCTCTGGGACACGCTGACCTTTCTAGTGCAACTGCAGGGATGTTTACTCACCAGCCCTGGTAGTTCATAAAAAACACTAGCTGGAGAAAGGCTGAGAGCAAGCTCATGCTGCCAGGGACCTAGATAGCAATGTCAGGGTACATCTGGGAGAAAGTTCATTTTACTGCAGGGAACAGCAGTGAAGAATTCCATTGTGATCATACTGTAGCCTTAACTGTATTAAAAATGGATGAAGGCTTAAAGAGGGATAACCACTGTTCTAACACACACTCTCTCTCCTCTCTGCTTCTCACCCACTAGTGCTTGCCTATTGGCTCTCTCTGTGTGCAGCAGACTCCCTCTTCACTTGCCCTTCCTCCTGCAAGTGTAACAGTGGCAGTCTGGAAGTGGACTGTAGTGGCTTGGGCCTCTCATCCATCCCCTCAGACATTCCTACAAACACCAGAATCTTCCTCTTCCTCAACAACAAGCTAAGCACACTGCCAGGACCAGTCTTTTCCAATCTCTCTGCCCTACAGAGGCTGGACCTTTCCAACAACTTCTTGGACCAGCTGCCCCAGAACATCTTCAGTGACCTAGGGAACCTCACCGAACTACAGCTGAGGAACAACAGTATCAGGACCCTGGACAAGGACCTTCTGCAGCAGATGTCCCTACTGCGCCAGCTAGACCTATCCATCAATGGCCTTGCTCAGATACCCTCAGGAATCTTTGATGACCTCCCGGCTCTCCGCTTGCTCTCCCTTAGGTCTAACCGCCTACAGAGCCTAGACAGGGTGACCTTTGAACCATTAGTCAGCCTGCAGCAGCTCCAAGTTGGGGATAACCCCTGGGAATGTGACTGCAACCTGAGAGACTTCAAACACTGGATGGAATGGTTCTCTTATCGAGGTAGGTACCACAGGGAGGGGGAGCCAATCATAGGGTGACAGATTGACTGCTAAGCTTTGCAGTGGAGGAGAGAGGTAGACAGACAGAGATAAGAAAGACAGATCAGGCTGACCTAAATTCTAGATCTTGGCCAAAGAGAAGAAGGTCAGTACTATAATGTTGTGCTACACAACAATGTAGTAATGCTACAGTTATTGCTGAGAAGATGCTTGCATTCTAAAACCTTCTTTTCAGATGCTATTTTTCATACTTGCTCCAAAACCCAAATGTGGATTTTTTTTCAGAGAGGGGAGAACTTGCTTAAAAAGCTTGAAAACTGTAGAGTTATGAGTTTGAAAAAAAGGTGCTTTTCATGCTTAAAAATAGTTCTCCAGCCCACTTCCTTGTGCTGGGATAACTAAAAACAAGACTGTTGGTAAAGCTTCAGGTTTGCCTCCAGTAAAGCAAATATCAGAAATGTTGATGTTTGAGGATGGTGTACTGCCACACAAGTATTGCCAACCCAAAATCATGAGTTAGGCCTCAAAAAAACATGACTGGCTTAAAAATGAGTTTTTTTTTAAATAATAGATTTGGAGACCTCTTTGTTTGCCTTCTGATGTTGGAACCTATAGGGTTTACATTTTAAAGCCTTTCTCTGCAACATTGAGGGATAAAAGCTGAAATTCTCTCAGAATCACATGACTCCAGGTGCTGGGACTTTAAGAGAAATGCTACATATTGTGACAACACCAAAGGTGTGACCCTCCTCTCTTTGAAGCCACTGAGAGCAGGAGTAGGCCTCAACTTATCAGCATGGCAACAGCATGTTACCTCTACTGATCTCAGATAACCACACTGGGAAGAGATTACATGACTGTGCAATTACGAGGCTGCAGTTTGGCATATGCCAAGGGTGGCCAAATGTACTGACCCTCTGAGCCACATACGACAATCTTCAGAAGTTTGAGAACAAGGGCACACTTGCTGGGGCTCGGGACTTTAGTCCTATGGGAGACACCTGCCGAGGCTGAAGTTCCTAGAGCCCTCTCCCCACTGGGCAGAAGCCCCTACCCCAGTACCAGGCAGAGCTCCTCAACTCCCCTGCCCCAAGTCTGGCACAGCAGGCTCCGGGAGCTGCACTTTAATGGTAAAAGAGCCATATGTGGCTTGTGAGTCACAGTTTGGCCACCCCTGGCATATGCATTAATGTGAACACAGACAAAGGCACACTGGTTCCTCTTTTTCTTTTTGACTTTTTTTACTTGTTTTCTGAATTTGACTCACACCGCAGAACAAGAGAAGCAGACAGAGAGCATTCTGGTTTTTCTTTCAAAGGAAACTGCACAAACACAGTGAAGCGCCTGCATCAGCATAGATTGCTAAATGTATGGAGGGAAATGCTGACTAGTGAGAATATGGGACTGGGAGTTTTAGCCCTTGGGTTCTCATTTGAGTTCTGTCACTGACTTGCAGTTTCATCTTAGGAAATTACTTTGTCTTTTTGTGCCCCATTTCCCTCATATGTAAAAAGGGGCTAATAACGCTGACCTTCATACCTTAAAGGGCTTTGTGAGGATTAGTTAATTCATGTTTTTAATGCATTTCGATAGCCTTAGATGGAAGGTATAAATCATTACCAAATACTAACTATGCACCCCTCGGGCTAGAGTGTAGCTACTAAAGCCCTACCCACCTAAAGGGGGGTGGAGGGAGATCACAACCAGTGGCAGTTGCAGAAGCCATTCTGCCCGCAGTGTGCTGAGGCAGACAATGTCTCCAAGGTTAGTGGATGAGCAAATGTAGGGGCAGCCACTGATACACCATTTTAAAAGGTGCAGTATCTTCTCCCCCGCCGTCATCTCTGGACCCCCTACCAGCGTGAAAGTGAAGGGGGACAGGGCCGTACCTTCATCCCATCACCTCTGGCACATGTAGTGCAACTGGCAATGCTCTGACTCCACCCTTACACTCTGGGAACACAAGGTGCTAGATTCTGGCTGCCTCTTGGAGTATGGAAGGGTTCCCTGCATCTCTCCCACACTCCACTGAGCACTTGTGCAAGAGAGACCAGATTATAGCCCCTTAGATATGATAAAGCCCAGTTATGGTCACTTGGGGATCCAGACCTTTGCATTTCCTGGCTTCTGTGGGCCTCAGCTAGTGTAAGTTACACTGATGTACACCAGCTGAGAATCTAGCCTTGTGTATTTAAAAGCTGAACCACAACAATGTACTGACATAGCTCACTGCACTGAACCAGGCCCTGCCTGACACCGAGCTGTGAATCACCCCTTTTTTCTCTGTTGGGACAGGAGGAAAGATTGACCAGTTGGCATGTACGCTGCCCAAGGAGCTGCGGGGGAAGGACATGCAAATGGTTCCCATGGAGATGTTCAACTACTGTTCACAGCTGGAGGATGAGAACGGCTCCACTGTGCTGGACAATTCTGGCCCACCATGCACTAAAGGAAGCCCGACTCCTTCAAAATCCAAGTCAGGGCCAGAACCTGAAGTGGAGCCGAGCGTGGGGTGCCCCCAGAAACAGAGATACCGGCCGGTTAGTGTGCGCCGAGCCATTGGCACTGTGATCATAGCTGGGGTGGTGTGTGGCATCGTGTGTATCATGATGGTGGTGGCAGCAGCTTATGGCTGTATCTATGCATCCCTCATGGCCAAATACCACCGAGAGCTGAAGAAGAGGCAGCCGCTAATGGGTGACACAGAGGGTGAACATGAAGAACAAAAGCAAATCTCCTCTGTGGCATGAAACTCTTCTCGGAAGGCAAGGGTAGAAGTGAGCAGAGTACCTGAGAGCAGTGAGGCCTGTGTCCTCCCACAATCCATCTTCCCAGACAGATGGACAGACTGTGCTATCACTCCACTCATCCAATTAGTGCAACATGCTTCTGGGTTTAGGACATCTGGCTCTAAATTTAATTCCTCTGCATCAGGCCCTTTGGCACCCCTTCACCCTCATGCCCTACCAAGTCAATAAACTATAGTCAGACCTCAAGTGCTTGCCATGCCTCATCCTTGCACAGAGCCCCCTTGGATATGCACAGCAAGGGCAGCCAACACCTTCCAGGAGCCCCTGGTGTCCTGACACCCTCCTCTCAGCTTCAGTCCCCACATCCTCCTACATCCCACACAGAACTGCAGAGCCTTCTGCAACCACAGAGAGCAGCCAACTGTGCTGAAGAAGCTCCTTGTATATTTACCAAGACACCAGAGCAAGTGTCTAAGTCTCACTGGTGGAGTCATTGGTGTTACAGGACAGTGAGCTATTCCCCATCTCCTGTACAGCTGAGGAAAACTTGGCCAAGAGAATATCGGGAGAGAGAGAAGGTCCTAGATGGTCACAATAGGGAGAGAAGGGAGATTCCCCTTCTCACTTTGAATGCTGGAAGGACACACCTACCCTAAGATCTGTGCACATAGACTCCATCCGCTCACCCTGACAAACACCATACACCAACATGCACACACATTTATCACCCACACGTACATACAAATAGCTATGTGCATACACACAGATCACCCACATGCACATACAAATATACCCCAATGCACACATGCCAATCCCCCACATGTGCATACAAACATGGCCATATGCACACATTTACTCACTTGCATACCTATGTGTATCGATACATTCCTACTCTGGAGCACCTAAAAGTGTGCTAGGCCCCTTCCACTACAGGCAACCAGTCCTGAGGGGCTTACAAAAATATCTCAGAGATGGTGCAAAGACTCAGGGAGGAGTAGGAGAGAAAGGACAGAGGCAACAGCCTTAAGATTCCAGTGTTACTCAGTGACAACTTGTGCACAGCACGAAAAGGTGAAGTGTGGCTTTGTATTTATTTTATGGTTTTATAAGATAAACAGAATGCGTGGGTGACCAATGGGAAGCCTCAGTCTGCAAGTGTCCTATAGACATCTCGGATGAAGCAAGTCCTCAGGAGGCATTGAAAATAGAAACTTGTTGACCAGCTGGGGAAGTGTGTTCCATGTATAGGGGCAACGTGGAAAACAGCCTGGAGGTGGTTGTGGGAGAAGCAGATAAACAGAGTGACAGCTGGCATTACTGGCAGAGTGGAGGGGGTGTATGGTGGGAAGGCAATGTGCTGAGTAGAGAGGGGCAGAGTTATTTATGCTGGGCCTTTGAAGGTGAGAACAGAATGCTGGAACTCGATGCAATAAAGAGAGAATTAGTAGAGGGATTCAAAGAGGTGGGTGCCATGGTCACCACACAGCCCACTGACACAGATGTGTTCAAGATTACATCTCCTACCTCACACAAATATAAGGACACACACACACACACACACACACACACACACACACACACACACACAACTAATTGACTAATATGCAAACAAATACATGTATGT